ACACTAGATGGTGTCTGGAACATAGTAAGAGATCAATTAATTTGAGGTATGTTATTATTGACAACACCAGAGCAGAAGTCAGCTAACTCCTGCAACAGGGTGTTCTGTCTTCTCTACAAAAGACAAGAACATATAAGAGGGGATATATGTAAGACATTAGTTTCCCAACTGGAATAATTGTAAGATACAAAATAATGTCAAGTCTTCTTGGATATATTAAAACAAAAAAAAATTAAGTACTTTCAGGGGAAGTGACTCAGATGAGCTATTGAGAACTTCTCAAAATTTCAGTTCATATTTTTATGCTGAAATAAAGTAACTGGAATTTTCCCCCATAGCTGGAAGTGTTTAATGTTTGTTTTACAGCTAGAAAAATATGTATTTTCATAATACATATTTAATCATACAAAAAGATCAATGTATTTTTTGATAATTGACCTTTTTAACATCCTAATTTTTCCCTATTAATGCTGCCTACAAATCCCAGAGGTTCCTTTTTTGTCCCTTGTAATTAGAATAAGTTGTGTGTTTAAGTAAGTGTACATTTTGAACAAAGTAAAGCATGCGGTGAGTTAGAACATTACTTTTTGAACATAGTTGGGGATAAGGCAGCTAATTTTCTTAAAAAATATGCCAAGATGCTGAATTTTTTCTTTTTTTGGTGGAACAGCTGGAATGTTATCTTGATAGATCAAAGTAGGAGTTCAGAGTCACTTTTTGATAATCTCTGGTTGAAATCGTAACAAGTTTTTCACATGTTAAGGCACATGTTTAACCATATATTTTAGCCCCTAAAAGCTCCTCTTGAACAATCTGCTGAAAGATCCCATGTATCACATTGATGATTCTGAGTTATTTCCTATTGGCGAGGGGCAAAGGCATTTATCATTTAATAACTATCTTAGGTCATATTCAAACTTGGATTGATATACTAGCATCTGTAAATCTCAGTTAATGACACTTTAAAGTGTCCGTTACGTCTTTGATATGAAATACCGGCATAGTTATATTTCTTGATTTTATAGATGCCTCTAGTGACTTTTTATGCTGTGTTACATATTTAGTTTTCCTGCACTGTGTCAGTATTTTGTGACATAAATCTTTTGGATGACTGTGCCCAATGACCGAGGAATAAAAAGTTTATCTAAAGATCTCTTAGCCCAATTAGAATATTGGTGATCCCCTTCTGTTCAGTTCAGTCTGTACTTTGTCTTAAAATTTGTTAAGAATTTCATATACACATATGACATAGTGACTCTTTTTGAATATTTATATGTTGGTACATGATTTATTTCATAGCTCTGCTTTGCTTATAAGTGTGTAAATATTCTATATTTCTTCATGCATACAAACATATACATATGCCCGCTACCAAATAGCTACTGGTTAAATGAGTTATCACAGTATCTACTCATTAGCAGTGAGTAATAACAAAAGATGAAGAACATTTAGTGTTACAGATTTTTTCTTACTTTTATCATCTCTCAATAAAGCAATATGGCAGGCTTCTAGTTCATTGTTTCAGGAGCCCATGCATTGGAGCATGTAAGTGACTTGTCCCTGGTCAGTCATCCTTTTCTGTATGATTAGGATTCCAAGTGGATTTTTTGGCTACAGAATTTCTATTTTAATCTCAACAGGAGATACAAATGCTTATAAACATCAACTAGAAAATATTTATATATATTTAGTTATTTTTATGAAGTTGTTGTTTTTTAGTCGCTAGTTACTAAATCATGGCTGACTCTCTTGTAACACCATAGACTATGGCCTTCCAGGCTCTGTCCATGGGATTTCCCAGGCAAGAAGACTGGAGTGGGTTGCCATTTCCTTCTCCAGGAGGTCTTCCCAAACCCAGAGATCGAACCCACATCTGTCTCCTGCATTGGCAGGCGGATTCTTTAGCCCTGAGCCACCAGGGAAGCCCTTTTTGAAGTATGCTATAACATTAGAAAAAAGAAGTGAAACATCAGTGTGAATCTGAATGTTGTTGATGTGAGAAAAACACTTTCCTAATACTTCATTTTTAAAGCATGAGTAGAAACCCAGTTGCTTCTGCAATAGCATTAGTCAATTTATTTTTCTTGCTCACAGCCCTAGTGTTCACAGATGTTAGTTGCCTTGAATATGCATCAGTAGAAACTGTAAACCGCAGCCTATAGTAGTAATTGCAAATTTCACCTCACTTACACAGACATCTATTTATGACTATCCCTCTTTATCCTATGTATGCCCTTGTACCTTTCATGTCTTTGGTGTTCATTCTATCAAAAAAAGTTAATTTTCTCTAGTGTATCAAGATGACGATTGTGTCTACTATTTTACTTAAATAGCATGAGAATTTATATGCCCACTAGGTAGCTAATTTTATTTCCTTTGATCATTTCTCTTCTACACAGTACAGGTTCCTCTATATTAGTGGTAATTCAGGTTACATCTGCATGTTAAAAAAAGACAGTAGACCAGTGAAAAATTTAGCCAAGTATCATATAACCAAAATAAATTGTCCTCTTTTAACCCTGAGCAAATGTGAATGTTAAAGTTTTATATAATTTTTAGAAATTATAAAATAATAAATTATAGACATTTGATCAGTCCCATCGAAAGCAGAAACAATCAGTTTAATAGTAGGGTAAATTCTTTAACTAGTTATGTGATTTAATAAGTAGATTAAGTTTTACTTACTGTTAAAAATATAAAATGAATCTCTAAAACATAAGACATATTGTTAGTTTTAAAAAAGAGAAATTATGCAATAAAATAATCCCCCAAATAAAAGATTTATGCACAACAAAACCAAGTGCTTGATTCTGTAATTCATGTATTTATCCTTTCAACAGATCCTTTTTGATTCCCTTACAATAAATAGAAAAAAGTCTGCTTTTAAGTAGCTTAAATTTTACTGGGAAAAATCATCCTTACAAAATAGAAATAAGCAAGATAATTTCAGATTGCAATAATTCCTTGAAGAAAATAAATAGCTAAGATGGAGCTTGAGTTAAGTCAGCCACTTTGGGTGGACTGCTTAAGAAATCGCTTTCAGAAGAAGTGATTTTTGAGATGAAGGACCAGGAAATATAGGACTTTGTGAGTATCGGGGGTGGGGAAATTCATATTCTAGGCAGAGAGAACAGATGTGAAGACTGGAAATAGTGAGTGAGGACTTGGTATGAGATCAAATTGGGAAGAAAAGGTTAGGTTATTCAGGTAGCAGTAGGTCATAGCCAAGATTGGGAATTTTTTGGAAGAGCCTCTAAAAATTTTGAAGAGGAGTGGTAGAATCCTATCTGTGTCTTTGAAATGTGTTACCATTGTATGAATAACAGTAGGGAGGCAGATGGAGAGACTGGGAGACCAAGATACTGTAGTAACATGGAAGTCAGGCAATGTGGCTGAAGAAGGCAGATGGCTGAGGAGCTGAGGCAGAGAATCCTCCTGGTGAAGGAGAGGAAGGAGTCCAAGATGAGCAACAGTCAGAGGATACTCACTTATGACTAAATAGGAAAGCAAAAATTAGCAAAGCACGAACCTTAATGAAGCAGTAATCAAACTAAAGAGGCAGGAACTGCTTACATTAACTCAATTGTGCATTTCATCCTACGACAAAGGAATAAGACGCTTAAACCTGACCGAGGAATTTCATAGATTCAGTCCACCTGGACTACTTGTCTAAGTCATGCTCAAGAGCTTTTCTTTTTTTTTTTTGGCCATGAAGCATGTGGGATCCTAGCTCCCCAACAGGGGATCGATTCTGTACCTCTGCATAGGAAGGCAGATTCATAAGCACTGGGCCCTCAGGGAACCCAGTGCCTGAGACCATCTAATGGAAAAGGTCTAGCTGTGGATTGTTTCTCTCAAGCTAGGGCTGCGTTTATTTCTCTGTTTGCAGCGCAAGTGCAGTGCCTCTCATGCTAGAGTATGCCAAAGTTCAGCAACTTTAACACCAGTTTTTCCTCTTGGTTTTGTTCACCAGATGTACTCTTCTCTATTCTTTACATAAGTTATTATATTACTTCATCTGGAAACTGTTAAGTAATTATTATTGTTATTAAAATGCCCCCTTTTTACAGACAAAGAAGCTAAGGTTGGTTAGGAGATATTGACCATCTTGACGTATATCACAGTTTTAACGAGGCAGAATTAGGATTCATACCTTTGTCTGTTGTGTTTTAAAGTGTGCTTTTTCATAACATTATGCTGCCTTATTGATCAGAAATCATACTGATAAATCACATAGGACTGTATGTTTTTTGGCTCTTTCTAGTATGTCTTCTATTAGTGAAAAGAGAGGTTAGTTAAAATGATGACAGAGAATGATGACAGAGAAATATAAAGACACTGGAGACATATACATCTTTCCCTGATAAATTATAAAAGTACCGTGTGTTTTAAATGAATAATCCTGCCAACCAATAGGAGGAACTCTCTAAAGGGCTATGAGAAAGGTTGTTCAGGACAGAGCAAATTAGGTGACAGATGAAAGACTTATTGTGTGTTATACTAACACACTTGCAAAGCATTGCACTCTGTATAGAAAGGTCAAAAATGTTGGACCAAAGCTGAGATTGTTGGGAAATTTGATTGTAAGATCTTGAGAAAAGGAGAAAACAAACATGAGTGGAAGACTGAGAGCCACATTGATTTTCTCAATCACCTGTCCTGCTTGTAAAATAGAGTCCTGGGATGGCCCCATTCCATCCCAAGAGCTTCTGGAGAAGAGAAACTGTCTGTTTAAAAAAATGCTTCCAGGTGATTTGGGGTACCAGGTAGGTAATGGACCAAACCTTGGGAGAATACTGATTTAGTACACTCTGTTTAATTTAGAAAGCATCATGAGGCTCATCAAGGAAAATGATTATCCAAAGTTGTATCACTCTTTTTGTTAGAGATTAGGCTAAATCAGGCTCCTTGAGACCCAGTGCTGTCTTCTTTGAGACTTAATTTTTCCAGCTCAGTCATGGATCAGCTAACTGCATATATCATTGACATTTCTTTTCTAGGATTACAACCACAGCTGCCTGCATGATGGACCTGAGGCGATACCCATTGGATGAACAAAACTGCACCTTGGAAATTGAAAGCTGTAAGTTTTTTTGAGAATCCAGCTAGACTGCACTTGGGTTTAAGGTTCTCCTTGGGCATGATCTCCTACCCTCTTTCATGTTCAGACCAGAGTCTTGCAAAGTTTGTGCTAGCATGCCAGATTTGGTGGAGGGAGGCACCGGCAGTGTCGTCCTTCCATGATGCTGCCACCCTCGTCATCTCATCCTTAAATTCCAGGAGAGAAGTGCAGGGAAGCAGTAATCTAGCAATTAAAGGGAAATGCTAAGAGTCTGAAAGGAGACTAATGGTTATTTCGGGCATTTATTATATGGAATTGGTGCAGAGAGCTGCAACAGGGAAAATAGATGGAGATGGCAGGGTGATACAAGATGCCCTAATTGTCTTTGCCTTTTACAAACATTATCTCTGCAAGTACAGAGTAAAGATGGCCTCTGAATTAGTTAACGTATTCATACATTGTGACTCGGTGGGTTGTTTTCTCTTTCGAGAAACTATTTTCAGTGTCTAAAATGTATTTTATATTCTCGCTGAAGGCTTAATGATGAGCAAGTTTGATGCATGTGTGTATTCTGTTTCCTGTGCTGACCTGTTTAGAGTGTTGGTGCTTTTTCTAGGCCACAGTTTCAGCATCCTTCTTGACAATTCAGCTACCTACACTTTTGTGTAGGCTAAAATATTGATTTCATAACCCATTACCATTTCAGAGGTCACACAGTGAGGCCATTTAAGGTAGAGTAGGACTTTGAATCTTTTTTTTCTCTGCCAATTTTTTGTGTTGGTTTTATATTTCATTCTGTCAAACAATTGGAAGCTGATGATTTTATATCCAGCATTCTAAATAATGAGTAGCTTGACTGCTTTCCTTATACCCTCTGCCTTTCGGAGGAACTCAAGCCTTGGCAAGCTGTGAAACTCTAAATCACTGCTTTGAGCAGAAATACAGCATTTATGACACATTCCTGGTATTTTTGCCCATTTCAAAAAATAACTTCGAGGGATAATTAAATTTACATGTACTTTTTGAAAGCCTGATTTCATACTTGCATTTCCAAATCATCATTGTTTTCACATTAGATCTTTGCTACAAGAAGCTATTTAATGAAATTGGTCTCTGGGATTTTGATCGTTTGTTATGTAGATATCTTTCAAATGGCATTGTATTTTCATAACTTATGATACAGTTTAGAGAATAGTGTTCCTCAAAGTTCTGATTCTTTGGTTGCTTCAAATAGTTGATGTAAGGATAATTTGAAAAAAGTTTGTTGTTTTGTACCAATGAATTTTTGTGGTAAGAGCATTTTTTTGTGGTAGAATTTGACTGATATTTTAAATAATCATAATTGTACATGATTAAAGCATTTGTACTGGTATTATTTCATTTAAGCCTTTCACAACCCTCATAGGTAAGTAAACAAGGTCTTTTTATTTTAAAAAATACTGATGATGCCTAATAAATAACACAATCAACACCCAAGTGTTCCATGTCATATAGTTCTGACATGAATATTTAAAATTAACATGATAGATAATTCCTTAGACTTCTAGAAGTTTAAGTTTTATAGAGAGGCTTTTATCTATCTTATTTCAGTTCACAATTACCCTGATAAATGATAGAGATTTTTTCAACTTTTTTGAGAAATAATTGCCATATTGTCAATTGATATAATTGACATATGACATTATGTGAGCTTAAGATGCACCATGTAATGATTTGTTATGTGTATATATTACAAAATGATCACTACTGTGAGGTTATTTAAAACATTCATTGCTTCAAATAGTTATGAAGTGTGTGTGAAGAACTTCTAATATTTACTCTCTTAGCAACTTTAAGTACATAGTACAGCCTTATTAGCTATAGTCACCATTCTGTAGATTAGATACTCTGATCTTATTCACCTTATAGCTGAAAGTTTGTACCTTTTAACTGTTTCTATGAGTTCTTTTTAGATTCCACATGTAAGTAAGATCATACAAAATTGGTCTTTCTTTCTCTGACTTACTTCCCTTAACCTAATGCCCTCATGGTTCATTCATATTGTCACAAGCGGCAGGATTTCCTTTTCATAGAAGAATACTATTCCATTGTGTATGTGTGTGTCACCTTTTCTTTATCCATTCATCCCAACAGTAGACATTTAGGTTGACTCCATGTCTGGGCTGTTGCACAGAATGCTGTAATGAACCTGGGCATGTAGGAACCTCTCAGCAATAGTGCCTTAATTTCTTTTGAATGTGTATCCAGAAGCAGGATTACTGGATCATATGGTAGGTCTGCTTTTAATTTTTTGAGAAACTCCCATGCTGTTTTCCATAGTGACTATACGAATTTGTATTCTCATTAGTGTACAAGATTCCCTGTCCTTCACATTCTAGCTAGCAAGCACTTATCTCTTATCTTTTTTTATGATGATTATTCTAGCAGGTGCGAGGTAGTTATTCATTGTGGTTTTGATTTGCATTTCCATGGTATAAATTATTTTGCATGGGTTTTCCAGTTTTCCCAACACCTGTTTTTGACTGAGACTTTTCTCTATTGATTGTTCTTAACTCCCTTGTCAGATATTAGCTGTCCATAAATATGAGGGTTTATTTCTGGACTCTCAATTCTGTTCCATTGGTCTATGTGTGTTTTTATGACAGACCCATTCTGTTTCGATTACTATAGCTTAATAGTATAGTTTAAAATCAGGAGTATGATATCTTCAGTTTTATTATTCTTATTCAAGATTGCTTTAGCTACTCAGGATCTTCTGTCATTCCATACAGGATTGTTTGTTCCATTTCTGTAAAAACTTCAGTGGAATTTTGGTAAGTGTTGCTTTGAACCTATAGATGCTTTGGGTAGTGGACATTTTAACAATTCTGACTCATGAACATAGAATATCTTTCCATTTATTTGCATCTTCTTAGTTTCTTTCTTCAGTATCTTACAGATTTCATTATACAGATTTTTAATGTCCTTGATTAAACATTCTATATTTCTAAGTATTGTGTTGTTTTTGATGCTATTGCGAATAGGATTGTTTTCTTTATTTCATTTTCTGATAGTTCATTGTTAGTGTGTAAAATTGCAACTGATTTTTGTATGTTAATTTTGTGTACTGCAGCTTTTTTGAATTTGTTTTCTTGCAGCTTTTTGGAAATCTCTAAGGTTTTCTATGTGAAAGATCATATCACCTGCAAATAGAGACATTTTTTTCTTCTTGCTAATTTTGATATCTTTTATTTCTTTTTCTCTTTCTTGATTGCTATGACTGGGACTTCTAGTACTGTGTTGAATAGGAGTGGTGAGAGTGGACCCCTTATTTCTGATCTTAGAGGAAAAGCTTTCATCCTTTCATCCTTGAGTATGATATGAACTGTGAGCTTGTTGTATAATGGCCTTTATTATGTTGAAATACATCCCTTCTAACCTAATTTGACAAAGGTTTTTATCATGAAAAAAAAGTTGATGTTTTTTCAAATGCTTTTTCTGTATCTGTTGAGTTAATCATATGATTTTTATCTTTCATTTTGATTTGCATATGCTGAAACATCCTTGCATCCCAGAGACGAATCCTACTTGTTTATGGTGTATGATTTTTCCAGTGGGCTGTTGAATTTTGTTTACTATTATTCTGTTGAAGATTTTTGCATCTATACATGTCAAGGGTATTAGCCTGTAGTTTTCTTTTCTTGCAGTATCCTTGTCTAGCATTGGTGTCAGGGTAATCCTGGCCCTGTAAAATAAGTTTGGGAGCATTCCTTCTCTTTAATTTTTTGGAGGGGTTTGAGAATAATTGGCATTAATTCTTCTTTAAATGCTTGGTAAAATTCACCAGTGAAAACATTTGCTTCTGGGCTTTTGTTGAGAAGTTTTTCAATGCTGATTTGATCTTCTCACTAATAATTGGTTTGTTTTTATTTTCTATTTCTTCATGATTCAGTCTTAGTAAACTGTATGTTTCTAGTAATGTATCCATTTCTTCTAGGTTATTTAACTTACTGGCAAGGTTGAACTTACTGGCATACAATTGTTCATAGTAGTCTCATCAACCTTTGTATTTTTTGGTATTAGCTGAAATGTCTTCTTTTTCATTAATCATTTTGTTTATTTTTGCCCTTCCTCTTTTTTTCTGGGTTAGTCTAGTTAACAGTTGTCAATTTTTTGATCTTTTCAAATACCCAGCTCTTAATCTTGCTAGTCTTTTCATTTATAGTTGTTTTCTTTTCATTGGTATCCTGTTCTCTATAGTGCCAACTTTGAGCCTAGATTTTTCTTCTTTTCCTGGTTCTTCAAGGTAGTTTATTGGAGAACTTTATTTTTTTTTTAATTCATACATGTGTTTATAGCTGCGAACTTTCCTCTTGGAATTGTTTTTGTTGCATTCCGTAAGTTTGTTATGTTGTGTTTCTATTTCGTTTACTTCGAGAACTGTTTTATTTCTCTTTTGGTTTGTTATTTGATAAATCAGTTGTTTAGGATTGAGTTGTTTTATTTTCATGTGTGTGTGAGTTTTCTGTTACTGATTTCTAATTTCATACCATTGTGGTCGAAAAAGATATTTAATATAATTTCTATCTTATTGAACTTGTTACACTTGTTTTATGACCTAGCATATAATCTATATTAGAAAGTGTTCTGTGCATGCTTTAGAGGAAGCTATAATCTGTTGCTTTCAGGTGGACTGTCCTATATGTCTGTTAGGTCCATCTGTTCTATAGTATTGTTCAAAACTACTCTTGCGTTATTGATTCTCGGTCTGGACAATCTCTCCATTGTTAACAGTGGGAAATCAAAGTCCCAAGCTATTAATGTGTTCCTATTTATTTCTCCTTTTAATTTTGTTAGTATTTCCTTTATATATTAAGGTGCTGTGATGTTGCATGTATATTTACAGTTGCTATATCCCCTTGATAAATTGACACCTTTATCATTATATAATAATCTTCTTTGTCTCCTGTGAGCATTTTAATTTGAAGTCTATAATGGATGTATTAATATTTCTGTCTTTACAACTACAGAAAGACACTAGA